GTCAGTTGCTGCCATTAGGGATTTCCGTTAATGTAAATCACTCTGTAGGTTCTGAGTTGTTTATTTTTGTGCTAAAGTCACAGTTTCTCAAAATTCACGTCTCAATTTTATAATAAGGATGAACAATTTACTCGCTTAATGTCCATTAACTAGGGAGAAGGACAATTACACAGTTGATCATCAATGCTTTTTTTTTATTTTTCAACTGACCTGATTCATATTACAATAACGTCAGAGGCAATGAGGTAATAAAAAGAGTTCCATCCCAGTTACAAAGGGTTAACATGAGCCACAGCAGTTTCTTCCAGCCGGACCTTTTTGTCTTCAATGTCGGTCCTCGTAATGCGATGTTCTACGACGTGGTTCTGAGGCAGCGTGACCGGCTCCTTTGTTCTGTGCAAAAGGAAAAAAATACTTATAAAAATACAAAATATGTGTTTTACTCGCCTATCAGCGTTGGGTTTTTTACTTGTTTTATCAAAATCAATGCTTTTAAACTTTGCTTTTACACCGAAGTTCAGCAATTACTCGTATTAATAATGATTGTTTTTCCCTGAACATATTTTACTAAGAAATACAGGGAAGGGAACGTTCTAAGCTTTAAAGGATATTATAATAGATAACTTTTAGTATCTTGTGAAGAATCTTATTCGATCCCAAACATTTTATCGACAAGGGAAATTAGTGTCAAGCCGTTTTCTCAAGGCCTTTTTCATCTTAGTGTTCTCTTCGGTTGCTTTTATTCCTTTAAAACACAGAAGATGAGATCCAGAGGCTCAAAAGGAATGATATTCAACCGTTGGAGCTGTTACAGAGACAGAATACTTACTTGTAAGAAGTGTGAAACTGGCAACTGTGATAACCGCCCCCTTTGAGTTGTAGGAACATAGTTACATCACCTCTCAATATGTTGTTGGAGACGGTCATTTTTTCAAAGGAAGGGTCCCAGCCAATTGTCCTCTTTTGCATTATGGGTCCGTTAGCGGGAAAGTTAACGCCATGAAACATGGATGTGTGCTTAAACCAATTTCTCTCAAGACTGTATGATTAAGAAAAATTGAGATATCAATTAAAATATGTAAAATTACTCTTGTAACTGTGTCACATACCTAGAGTGCAATATACTCAGTAGAATAATGCTACAACGCTTTTCAAACTTAATCCATTTTCTCACAGATGCCTATTTCAAAATTTAGCATATTCTTAATATTCTCTGGTCACTATGCTTTTTGTGTACATTTGTTCCCCTGTAGCTAGACAAGAAGCGTTCTCGGGAGAATCACTACTAAGTTACACTTTCAAAAAGGGCGCTCCCTTCTCCGTGTAAAAAATGACCTT